CCAAGCCGCCCCAAGAGACACCTTGGTGTCCTTGGAGAAGAGTCTATGTTTAGCTAGTTCTGGACCGTATATCTTTCATTGTCTTTGTAGTAATGCTGACACGTATGAATGGAATGTGGGATTGTAATTCTATGCACCTTTCCCACCCTGGCACCCCAGTTCTGACAGAGTTTGATCCCTGAACATCTCACATCTTCTAATAAAACTTTCACTAAAGAAAGAGTGCGTGGAGAGTGATTTGACTGGGAAGCTGACATTATGCTCAGTCACTTGCTAGTGCAGTTCACATCCTGCTCACAGGAATCAACGAAGGAGCTAATTGTTGGCTGAGCTATTCACATGTGTCTGAATTAATTTGTTTTTGTTTGATCACAGCTGACTCTCCCTACCCTCTGCTACTGCCTCCAAAGACACACAATTTTTATCTGCTTTAAGATTTTTTGAGTTGAGACTTACTACTTAAATGTCTGTTTTTGACTTTGGTGTCTATCTGCCCAAGAATCTAGATGATCTTGCAGTCAGTGTGTTAGCCAGCTTTTCCCTGACTCTTGATTTTCGGTCAGACACATAAAACTGTATTTCTGCTTTCAACAAGTGCTCACAATCCCTTCACAAATAAATGCTGCTGACTGCACAGGAGTAAAAAAATAGGCAATGTATCCAGTGCTGATCATTTAAAGGAGAAGTACAGCTGTGCTGGTACAAAGAAGGGACAGACTGCAAGCAATTCCATGCTGGACAAGTGGAATGTTTTAATGACCTAAGCTTTTTCTCTAGCAATAAACAGTCAAGTTTATTATTTGCCATGGTACATCTGGCTCTGTAGCAGAGGTAGTTGTTTCACTGGCAGAAAGCTGCTTGGCATGGTGCTTGAGACAAATTTCGACAAAATATATCAAAGCTGTCCAGTCAGGAGCTCACTTTGTGGGTGTTCAATCAAGGCAAGGTCATCTAGAGATCCCATTCACAGTCTCAGTTTGCCTAGCCAGTACCCTATGGACGCCGTCCTGAGTTCCATGATCAAATGGATAATCAATGTAATAAGTAAATAAGAAAACAATAGATGTTACAAAAGGCAACATCAGTCTCCAGAGTCCTTGTATCCAAAACTGACCTCATGGAAAGCCAACTCCCATTTGGGAAATACTTGGAGATTTGGGGAGGCTCCTGAGTCTGGCCCAAGCAAGCCAGTCACCTCTGCCAGAGCCTTCCCTAAGGCTGGAGCAGTTCACCTTGGAATTTATTTCCCAGCTGTGTTTGATAAGGTGGTTCAGACTGAATAGGAGTCGCCACCTGGCCAGGCCTGAGTGAAACCACCCCATTATTTCAAAATTCTACACCCTGGAACCAGATGTGGCAGAGCGCTTCAGACAACCTCTGGTGGACAACCCGGGAGTCATTCTGTGCTCCGACTCAGTTTTATCTGCAGAAGCGGATGGCCTGCCGAGGGATCCCTGAGGCAGAAGGATCGAACAGGTCTTGCAAAAAAATATCTGAAGCATCTTCAATTTCCCTCAGAGCCTCCATGGCAAGTTCCCTCTTTGCTAGAGCAATCTATTCCTGGACTTCTATCACGTGCAGGCAGTGGCATATGCAAAGGACTAAAGGATGAGTTAAAGATCACTCTTGTGGTAGCTTTTGCTGAAGACGCTTCAATCGACACAATCCAGCTATCGCCCAGGGCCACAGCCTCACATGTGACTGCCAGGAGAAATACCTGACTCTGCAATTGGGAAGTGGATCCTTTGTCTCAGACATGAGTGGCCAAGTTCAGGGGACTACATCTTTTTGGAGAAGGCACGGACAGATATTCAGTGAAGGATAACGACGAGAAGAAGTCACTGCCTTCTCACAAGAAAGACAGCAAGCCTAAGAAGTGCTTCATCTCCTTTTGTGCATCCAAGTGTACCTCAGGATTTTGACCTTCTAAAACCTCAAAAGGGAGACAGTAGCCCAAACAGTCAGGTAGTAGTAGTTCCTCCTTTACCAGGACATCAGGACAGAACCCAAGAGGGCCCAAAAAGAACTCTACAGCATGACTGTCACAGGGGCTCAGACTCACCAAAAGTGGGAGGTTGTCTTCAGTTTTTTGCAGCTCATTGGGAATCCACAGTGGGTGACAGGTAGGTCTTAGACACCATGACTTTGTTTTTCCTGGAGTTATGCCAGCTCCATGTTGGGAAATTCCTGGATATTTGGGGGGGGGAGCCTTGGGATGTTGAGGTTTGAGCTTGGAAGTTAGCAAGGTATAATAACATAAACTCGATCCTTCAAAGCAGCCATTTTCTCTGGGGAAACTGATTTCTGTCATCTGGAGATTAGTTGTAATTGCAGATCTCCAGGCCTCACCTTGAGGTTGGCAACATTAGTTCCCCTGAAGGAAATGACTCATCATCAGAACATCAGAACATCAGAGACGCCAATGTTGGATCAGGCCAAAGGCCCATCCAGTCCAACATTCTGTGTCACACAGTGGCCAGAAATACCAGTGCCATCAGGAGGTCCAGCAGTGGGGCCAGGACATTAGAAGCCCTCCCACTGTTGACCCCCCCCCCCAAGCACCAAGAAGACAGAGCATCACTTGCCCCAGAGCCCCTAGCTATACCTTGTGGCTAATAGCCACTGATGGACCTCTGCTTTGGAGGGTGGAGTCTATGGCATTATATCCATCTGAAGTCCCTCCCCACCTCAATCCCCACCATCCCCAGGTTCCACCCCACAAATATCTAGGAATTTCACAACATGGAGCTGGCATAACTACAGGAAAAACAAAGTCATGGTGTCTAAGACCTACCTGTCACCCACTGTGGATTCCCAATGAGCTGCAAAAAACTGAAGACAACCTCCCACTTTTGGTGAGTCTGGAGTTGGCATCCCGATCTCCTTCCCACCCAACAGGCAACCTACATTGATCTGACCCTCTCTCTTCAGCTTTCCATCTCCTTTCCCCCTGTAGCTTCTACTCAGGAAAACTATGGTCTTTCTCCACAGTGGGGACTAAAGCAGTTTACAGTATTCTCTACTTTTTATCCACACAACAACCCTATGAGGTAGGTTGAAAGTATGTGACTGGTCCAAAATCACCCAGTGAGCTTCTGCAGCAACATGGGGATCTAAACCTGGGTCTCGCAAACCCTACTCTGAAGCTCTGATCATTATACTACAGTGACCATTATACTACACTGACTTTCACAGGGTGGCTGCTGTTGAACAGGAGTAAGCAGCCAGGCCTAGTTGAATCATGCAAGTCAGGTGGCATCAAGGCACCCAGAGCGTGCTGCTAGGCCTAGATTTGCCAGCCTCCAGGTGGGACCTGGAGATCCCCAGAATTACAACTGAACTCCAGACAACAGAGATCTGCCCCCCTGGAGAGTATGGATGGACTCTATGGCATTATATCCAGTGGAAGCCTCTCCCTTCCCCAAACTCTACACTCCTCAGACTTCACTACAGAATCTCCAGGAATTTCCCAACATGGAGCAGGCAATCCCAGGCCCGGCTCCAAAATAGGCCTGGAAAGTGCTCTGCCCTCTCCGCCTGCCTTTTTAACCCAACCCCCCAGCTATTTAGCCATACTGCAGGAGGAATCCTCCCCAATCCCAGCTCCAGTTCTGCTTTTGCTTCCTGCCCTCTTTCCCCACTCATCATCCCTGTCTGTCTCTCTGGCTATCAGGCAGTCTATCTCTCACTGTTGATGTGGCGGGACCTGGAGTAGATCCCTGTGGCGGCCATTTCAAAAGGTATGGGGGGGGGATTCAACCCTCCCTGAGTTTGTTTTTTACTTTTTCTGCAGACCCACGGAGTCCCCTAAGTCTGTAGAAAAACCTGTTGGGGGAAAGTGTGCCCTCTGTGAAAAAAGTATCCGCATGCAGAGGGGACTGTTGAGAATTAAATATATAGATAAAATGCTACTGGGTTAGGGTTGCCACCTCTGAGTTGGGGGGGGGGGGAACCTGGAGAATTGGGTGGTGGAAACCGGGGAGGGCAGTGTTTGAGGGAGGGGCCTCAACAGGGTACAATACTACACAGCCCACCCTCCAAAGCAGCAATTTTCTCTAGAGGAGCTGATCTCTATTACTGAGAAGGAGATTGAATTTATACTTCACCCTTCATTTGGAGTCTCTGAAAAGCTTACAATCTCCTTCCCTTCCTCTTCCCACACCCTGTGAGGTAGGTGGGCTGAGAGAACTCTGAAAGAACTGCTCTTGAGAGAACAGCTTCAAGAGAACTTGTGACTGAGCCGAGGTCACACCAGCAGCTGCATGTGGAGGAGTGGGGAATGAAACCCAGTTCTCCCAGATTAGAGTCTGCGCTGTTAAGCACTACACCCAACTGGTGTAGTGGGAGATCTCCACACCCCACCTGGAGTTTGGTAACCTTATGCTGGGTTCAAAACAAATCCAAGATGCCCCAAAGGTCTGTTCAGACAGAGTAGCCCCACCCTACCCCCAGTGCTGGAGGAGGGCCTGGCGTGATCTGGACCATGGGGTCGCGAAGAGTCGGACTCGACTGTGCGACTGAACAACAACTTTTGAATCATTTTGAATAATTGAATCATTTTAACTGTATTTATGTTTGTATGGAAGCCGCCCTGAGCCTGCTTTGCGGGGAGGGCGGGTATAAATCTGATAAATAAATAAATGAATTTGAAGCTGTGATCATCGCCATGTACTAGGGACATTTCTAACCTGCCAAAAAAAGAGGACATTCCCATCCGTTTCTTAGAGCCCCAAAGAGGACGGACACCAAAAAAGAAGGAGGCCAGCCCCTCCAAGAAGAGGACACCTGATCCGACCCTCCACTATCCCAAACCCGCCTCAAGCTCCGCCCACGATGATCCTCCGCCTGCGGCGAGAAAGACGCCCGGAGACACACACACACACCCCCGGCAGAGGGCGCCGGCTCCTTCCGCCTCTCCCCCGCCCGCTGGCCCTGCCGTGCGCCTTCGGGAGGCGTTGGCCCTCTTCGGCTCCCGTACCTCCCTTAGCAACGGGTTGCGAGCGCCGTTGCCAAGGCCCGGGGAGCCCGCGAGCGAGCGAGCGCCGCGTCCCTTGGAGAGCGCCGGAGGCCCCGAGCTCCAGCCGCCGCTTCCCCTCCCCTCCCCTCCCGTCGGAGGGAGGAGCCGGTAAGGGGCGGAGAAGGGGGCTACGGGGGGGGGGGGGCCGGCC